GAGACGAGGTTTCACCGTGTTGACCAGGATGGTCTCGATCTCTTGACCTCGTGATCCACCCACCTCGGCCTCCCAAAGTGCTGGGATTACAGGCTTGAGCCACCGCGCCCGGCCCCAGGTTGTGTTTTAAAAAAAGAAAAAGCTGGCCAAATCTCACCAAAACCAAGATGGTGATGAAAGTGACCTCTGGTCATCCTCATTGCTCATTATATGCTAATTATAATGCATTAGCATGCTAAAAGACACTCCCACCAACTCCAAGACAGTTTACAAATGCATGGCAACATCAGGAAGTTACACTATGTGGCCTCCTAGGAGGAGGACCCCTCAGTTCTGGGAATTGCCAATGCTTTTCCCAGAAAACTCATGAAAAATCCACTGCTTGTTAAGCATATAATCAAGAAACAACCATAAAAATGGGTTACCAGCAGCCTTCGGGGCTTCGCTGCCTATGGAGCACCCATGCTTTTATTTCTTTACTTTCCTAATAAACTTATTTTTACTTTATTCTATGGACTCACCCAGAATTCTTTCTTGGGCAACATCCAGGAACCCTGTCTTGGAATCTGGACTGCAACCTCTTTCCAGTAACACAAACATCATACCAGTGAAAAATTGAAAGCTTTTTCCTCACGATGAAAAACAAGACAAGGATTCATACACTCGCCACTTCTACTCAATATATTATAGTAATGGAAGTCTTAGCTAGGGCAATTAGGTAAGAAAAAGAAATAAAAGACATCAACTGCAGAAAGGAAGAAGTCAAATTATCCCTGTCCGTGATCTTATATGTAGAAAACCCTAAAGATTCCACATTAAGGTTGGGTGTGGTGTTCATGTCTGTAATCCCAGCACTTTGGGAGGGCGAGACAGGTGGATTGAGAGGTCAGGAGTTCGAGACCAGCCTGGCCAACATGGCTAAACCCCATCTCTACTAAAAATACAAAAATTAGCTGGGCGTGGTGGTGGGCACCTGTAATCCCAGCTACTCAGGAGGCCGAGGCAGGAGAATCACTTGAACCTGGGAGGTGGAGTTTGCAGTGAGCTGAGACTGTGCCATTGCACTCCAGCCTGGGTGACAAGAGCAAGACTTCGTCTCAAAAAAAAAAAAAAAATCCACATTAAAAAAAGTATTAGAATTGATAAATGTTACAAGTAACTTTAGCAACATTGTTTGATATAAAATCAACACCCGAAAATCAGTTCCTTTTTTTTCTTTGAGACAGAGTCTCACTCTGTCACCCTGGCTGAAGTGTGGTGGTGTGATCTCAGCTCACTGCAACCTCCACCTCCCAAGTTCAAGCAATTCTCATGCTTCAGCCTCCTGAGTAGCTGGGATTACAGGCGCCCTCCACCACACCTGGCTAATTCAGTTGCATTTTTATACGCTAAAAATGAACTAGTCAAAAAAAAAAAATTAAGGAAACAGTTCCATTTACAATAGCATTAAAATACAATAGAAATAAATTTAATCAAAGAGACAAAGACTACTACACCAAAAACTACAAGACATTGCTCAGAGAAATTAAGACATAAATAAACAAAGAGACGTAACTGTTCACTGATTGGAAGACTTAATATTGTTAAAATGTCTATACTACCCAAAGCATTCTACAGATTCAGTGTAATCCGTATTAAGAACCAATGGAATCTTTTGCAGATGCAAAAAATATCCTAAAATCCGTATACAACCACAAAGGACCCGGAAGAGCCAAAACAACAGTAAAAAAAAGAGCAAAGCTGGAGGGCTTACATTTCCTGAATTCAAAACTTATTACAAAGCTACAGTAATCAAAACATATGGTATTAAATAAAGACAGACAAATAGACCAATTAAATAAAATAGAGTGGCCCAGAAATAAACACACACAAATGTGTGACAAAACAGTATCTGAAAAGGGCACCAAGACTATACAAGGGGTAAGATAATCTCTTCAACAAACGGTGTCAGGAAAAGTGGATATCAACTGCAAAAGAATAAGATTGAACTGCTACAATACATAAAAATCAAATCAAAATGGATTAAATATTAAAATGCAAAAACTGAAACTATAAAACTCCTAGAGGAAAACACAGGAGAAAAACTTCATGGCATTAGTCTTGGCAACAATTTTTTAGATGTGAAACCAAAACATAGGCTATCAAAGCAAATATAGACAATGAGACTACATAAAACTAAAACTTCTACTCAACCAAGGAAACAATCAATGGAGTGTAGAGATAACCTATGGAATGAGAGAAAGTATTTTCGAACTATATAGCTAATAAAGGATTAACATGCAAAATATATAAGGAACTCCTAAAACTAAATAGTAAAAAAGCCAAAGTAACAACAACAGCAACAACAAACAATTTAAATGTGGACTTCAATACACGAATCTCCAAAGAAGGCATACAAATGGCTAAGAGGTATATGAAGAGATACTCAGCATCACTAAACATCAGGGAAATTAAAATCAAAACCATAATGAGATGAAATATTACCTCATACCTATTAAGATGGTCATCATCAAAGAAACAGAAACAAGTGTTGAAGAAGATAGAAATTAGAACCCTCTGCACTGCTGGTGGGAATACAAAATGGTGCAGCTGCTATGGAAAATATAGCATAAAGGTTCCTCAAAAAAATTAAAAATAGATCTACCGTATGATAGAGCAATCCCACTTCTGAGTATGTATCTAAAAGAACTGAAAACAGGCGTCTTTCCGGTTCGTCGTGGAAGGAGGTCTGCGCCGCGTCTTCCTTAAGGTTGAGAACAAAAAGATGCCCCTGGACTTTCCCCGGAGCCCTCTGCGTGGTTGAGCTTCGGTGGAATTTCGGGGCTCTTAGCTGCCAGCTGCGCTTGCCTGATAGCAACAGAAACCAGTCCCGCTTGCCTCCGTGCCACAAAAAAGCCGCATCCAAGATCACCTGACACCCATCCTGTCAAGTGTCCATG